CACACACACGCATGCACACAGACACACACACACGCATGCACACAGACACACGCACACACAGACACACACACGCATGCACACAGACACACGCACACACAGACACACACACGCATGCACACAGACACACTCACACACAGACACACACGCATGCACACAGACACACGCACACACAGACACACACACACGCATGCACACAGACACACTCACACACAGACACACACACACATGCATGCACACAGACACATGCACACAGACACACACACATGCACAAAGACACACTCACACACTCACACACAGACACACACACGTGCATGCACATAGACACATGCACACAGACACACACACACATGCACACTCACACACTCACACACAGACACACACACATGCATGCACATAGACACACTCACACACAGACACACACACGCATGCACACAGACACACTCACACACAGACACACACACACGCATGCACACAGACACACGCACACACACACACACACACACACACACGCACACAGGCAGTCAAAGCTGCTCTTACCTGCAGGAGAAGGAGCCAGGCAGGCAGGACCAGCACTAGACAGAGAGGAGAGACACGCACTCTAGGAGGGTTAATCTTGATGCAATGTGGCGTGGTGGACTGGATCCTGCAGGAAAGGGCACTAGTGGGAAAACCAGAGAAATTCGCATCAAGCCTGGCAATGAGTCACTGGTCAGTGACAGTCCTGCTTTCTTGGGTTTAACCTCTGCACCGTGATAATGTAGACGCTGATGCTGAAGGGGCTGGGACGAGTACACAGACCCCACTGTCCTGGCAGCTTTTCTGTAAACTTCAAATTAGTCCAATAACAAGTGTGTTTTAAAAACTATACATGACTTTGACGGATTAAACTGCAAGAAATATATGTAAATTCATGGGCTCGCAATGATACTGAAAAAAAACTCATTGACCACCTCCGCAGATGGCTGGGGTGCCAGCTCAGTCTGAGCATTGGTAAATGAAGGGAAGGAATAACATCTTCCCTGCCCTTCTTGTAAGGACCGTATTCCAGGTGAATCAGACAGTAAATGAGGGCAGGACTGTCTTCCCTGGCAGTTCACAGTTAGCAAATGCAAAAGGAGGGGTAAAATTTAAAAATTACCATGTTGCTGTGCTATGACCATGACGGGGGGGCGGGTATTGTAATAGTTAGAAAAATCACATATGCAATGATTCTTTGATCCAACAATCCCATCTTCAGAAATCTACCCTGGTTCACATTAGACGCATGCACCAGACTAATAGGAAAAGACTGGGTCTAACTGAAATGTCCATGAACAGAGGACTGTTGATGAGACAATGGTACATCCACAAAACAGAGGCTCACACAGCTATAAAAAAGAATGAAAAGGTTCTGTATGTTGCTACATGGAGCGACCTCCAGGGCATTATTCAATGGGAAAAATCAAGATTAACAAAAATACATATAATGCGTTCTTTCAATAAATGAGTAAGCATTTTTAAAGTAAGTAGATGCATATTTGAATATATAAAAGCAAATTGACAAAAGAATAGATACAAAGGTCATTTTAACGGCTAGTTTGGGGGAAGATAGAGTGAAGGGCTGGGTAAGGACAGAAGCCTGACTCCTAGGAATAGACCTTGTGTAGATTTGACAGGTAAAATGTTTACTGTTTGATGTTTCTATAAACAAAGTTAAGTTAAAAACCAAGGACTAAAGAACTAAGACTAAAAGAACTACCAGAAACTCTCACCCTGGCATCCAGAGGCGTCCAGCGTGGGAGGAAGGAGCAGTCACGTCACCCTGACACTGAGTGTGTGGTGGGAGAGCAGGTCAGGAGCTCTGTCGGTGTAACTGGGAAACGGAACTTTCTGCATGGAGAAAGGAGACACGGACGTAACACTAAAGAAGCTCAGTGAACACTCTGCAGTCTTTACTTCTGATAGGAACTATCAGCATGATTTTCTAATCTTTTTATCCCTCAAACATCCAGGAGTTTTTCAGCCTGACCGTTGAAAAAGCCTAAAAACAACACCAACTCAGGAGTAATAGCAAGTCCTACACCCTGTTTCCTAAACTAAACCACGTTTCTTAGAAAAATATCCTGTTCAGTATGACGTCCCTGAAACATTTTTCTTAGCAGAAGGCACAAGGCAGACGGGGCCTTGTCTAGTGAACGCCGAGTCCAGTGGAAGTTGCCGCCCATGGTCAGGACTGGGAAAGCTTGGAATTTATAAAGAAAACAGCTGCAAGTCCTCTGGGAGGCCAAGGCAGGGGGATCCCTTGAGATCAGGAGTTCAAGACCAGCCTGAGCCGAGTGAGAGCCCCTGTCTGTAATAAAAATAGAAAAATTAACCAGGTTTTGTGGTGGGTGCCTATAGTCCCAGCTACTCGGGAGGCTCGAGCCCAAGAGTTCAAGGTTGCTGTGAGCTGTGACGCCACAGCACTGTACCCTGGGCAAGAGAGTGAGACTCTGTGGAAAGGGAAAAGGGGGAAGGGGAAAGGAAGGGAAAGAAGATAAAACAACTGCAACTACTTAACTGCATGAAATCGCTTCAACTCCATGAGTCCATAACGAAGGTTCTTTAAACTCACTATCCCCTTTGCAGGATGTTAAAGCTGGCTCCCCCAGCCATTATGTTAAAGCTGGTTAATAAAAAGAGAAGCTATCACCACAGACCCTACAGACATTAAAAGGATAATAAGAGAAATTATAACATGTCTATGCCCATAAATTTGAAAACTTGAATGAAATAGAGTAATTATTTGAAAGACATAAAGTAGCAGAGTTCACTCAAAGAGACACAGATAGTATGAATAATTCTAAACCAAAATTAAACTTTTAGCTGCAAATTCCCCTAAAAAGAGAACACTCACCAATGAACTCTACTAAACATTAAGGAAGCAGCAGGGCCAATCTGCATAGGCTCGTCTATGGCTAGTCGTGCTTTGTGAGACCCACCAAGTCTCTCCGTGTGGGAGGTAGGGCCTAGTAGGGGGTGTTTGGATCATGGGGTCAGATGCCTCATGAATGGCTTGGTGCCCTGCTGATCCTCAAGGTTGTGAGTGAGCGCTCACCCTCAGTTCCCACAAGAACGATCATTAAAAAGAGGCTAGCAGCCAGGTGCAGTGGCTCATGCCTGTAATCCCAGCACTCTGGGAGGCAGGTGGACTGCTTGAGCTCCAGAATTTGAGACCAGCCTGAGCAAGACCAAGACCCTGACTCTACTAAAAATAGAAAAAACAACTAGCTGGGCATGGGGTGAGTACCTATAGTCCTAGGTAGTTGGGAGGCTGAGGCAAGAAGGTCCCTTGAGCCCAAGAGTTTGAGCTTGCTATGAACTATGATGCCATGCCACTCTACCCAGGGCAACAGAGTGAGACTGTGCAAAAGAAAAGAAAAAAAAAAATGGATAAACTCGTCTGTACCTCCTCTCGTCCCTCCTCACTCACGTCCTCTCTCACCTCTGAACTGTGCACATGGTGGCTGCCCTTCACCTTCCACTATGAGAGAAAACAGCCTAAGGCCCTCAGACGCTGGTGCCAGGCTTCTCGTACATCCAGCAAAACCATAATTCAAATAAATCATTTTTGTTTTTTTGAGACAGCCCCACTCTGCCCAGGTCAGAATGACATGGTGTCAGCATAGTTCACTGCAACCTCAAACTCCCACATCAGCCTCCCAAGCAGC